GACAGCACAGTTGAACAACAAAGTGATATTCAAAAGATGGAGGAACCAAAATGGAGCCTGTTCTGCAGTAAGGGGAAGCAAAACCAAACCAAGCACAAAGAGCTTTTTTTCCTCCAAAAATTGCTTTATGATTAGGGGTTTTTTTTAGCTGGACAGACACAAAGTTCAAGGCTTCTAGTATTTTTATTTTTTAAATATATATTTAAATATATATATATGTATTTATTTTTATATTTTACTTCCTATCTCCCTCAGCTTGGAAAGAAATTCCACTTTAAAATATTCTAATTCTCCTTTTAGTAATTCAAACAACCTAGTGAGTGCCTTAATCTTTTCCTAATGTGATGTGCCCTTCTTAGTGTTCGAAAGCAGGAAAGAATTCGGTCTGTTCAATTTTCTATTTAATTTTCCAGGTTAACCTTTTATTTATAGGAGTCAATAAATATTTTAACTGAGCTGAATAATTACATGGTATTTAAGAAATCATTTCAGATTTCTGGAATGTCCTTCAGTTCCCAGAAATCCATTCTTTATATGCCGTTACCGATATCCTGGCAAAAAAACCTAGGGAACAGTTGGTTTAAAGAACACATGTTGTGCATTTTAATGCTCTTGAATGTTTTATACCACTTCAACCTGGTGAAAAGATTTTTCCATCTGTACTTTGTCCCTTTCCTTCCCAATAATTTTCCATTAAGTTTTTAGCTTTTATAGGTTAAACCTTGATGAATTATCTGTATACAGGGTATCTGATTTATTATTATTAATCCTCATTGAACTCTCTTAAAAGAGAAGCAGCAAAGCATTTCAGCTCATGCACTGACTGGATGCCTCTTGTCATTTGAATATTCTCTGCGAAGTAGAGATAAATAGCATCTGGTAGATCTTATGACATCTCGATCTCCTTTCTGGCTATGTACAGTTCACAGAAAGGATTCTGACATCTTTCTTGTTACCCAGACTCAGCTGCATTAGTTATGCCAAATCATCATTGCTATGCGTGCAGAGACTTTAATTCTCCCTTTGCTCCCTGAACCAGTACTCCCAAGTTCCACACAAATCCTGGAATTCCTTACATTTCATGAATGTCCCTATTCTCATTTCCTAGAACATCTTTGTTATTGCTTTCCTAGGAGCTGATTTCGGTCATCACTTGAAAATGAAGTTGTTATAAAATGGCCATGTTGACAGATGGTATAAATGGCATAGCTAATCAAATCTGCTCCAATGTTTTAATGGCAACAGGGGATTATCACTATGCTACTAAATGAAAGTCTTAAAAGTGCAGTCGGTAAAGCGCGTGGTGCACTGAAATGACAGTTCCCAGAATTTTAACTCAACGATGCAGCAATGATAGTAGCTGCTATGGCTGACATCTCATTGACATATGTCTCAAAGGAAGTTCACAAACAGGTTTGCTGGAGCCTATCTCATTCCTGATAAAGCTGCTTTCTGATAATATTGTTTGGACTCACCATTGCATCAGTAGAAAATGTTAAACAAACCATGTCTGGGGTTTAATGTATTATTCTTTAAGATACAGTCATCTGAAGAGAGGCTCACATGTTTGAAAGAGCCATTCCAAATCCTTGCATGTTGCATTCAACTTTTGGTGGTTCGTTAATTCCTGGGAAAAAATCAGCCCCAGCAATGTTACTTGCCACCGTATTTCAGTAGTTTGTCAGAAAAGACTTATGAACTGTAAGTGAGTGCACCTGGGATAAGCTTTTATACATTTAACATTTGGAGCCTCAAGTTTGACACCATTTAGATACAAGATAAAATCTAAGATAAAAGGTCATTAATCCCTACTAGGTCTAAGTACATGTTACGGAGGCATGCACAATCAAATCCAACAGCTGTTAAAAGTCAGATTTATTCTTCAGTAAAAAGTTAGTTAGAGCTCCAATAATATTA